GTTCATTTAACTGACCTTATTTTGGTAGTTTTCTTTAACCGTTTCTGGTCCAACAAAACGTCTCATTCATCTTCCTCCGGCGCACTGAAACCGTCGAAATCCTCTTCTTCAGTGTTGGAGTTAAACAAGCTGCGTCACACAGCGGTACCTGTTCAGTTTCTGTGTCGCTGTCCTCCCGGGCTGGCTCTGAAGCTGTGGTGTCCTCTTCACGTAGCAGTCCAGCCTTTCAGAACCCATTGATGATGGTGGACTCATTCACTCTGCTCCACGCTGTTAGGATCCACTGGCAGACATCAGGAAATGACGCTCTTCACATTCGGCCAGTTTTTGTGAATGATTTATCCCCGTCAGTCAGCTGCTGGGAAAGCCCTCCAGCTCCAGCATACGTCACTGCAGGGATTCCTTCCCCGGAGAGTGCAATGCCGAAAAAAAAAAGTCAGCAGATCTTCACTCGACGTTTATCCACAAACTGGTCCTGGATTAAGCTCCAAAGTTTTTACCAGTCAGATTCCACCTTGAAAAATGTCTGTTTTATCCYCTTTTATGAGTTTTTGGCCATTGACTATCTTTAAATCGCTGCTTCCTGGTCAACAGTCGGCTCTGAAAGTGATCGCTTTTTTCTTTTCTTTTTTTTCTTCTTTTTTTTGAGTGGTTGAAGCAAATGGAGCATAAGAGCCCCCTGGTGGCTGAAGAAAAAAATCCACCTATAAGCCGCACTGGACTATAAGCCGCATGGTTCAAAGTTCAGGAAAAAAGTCGCGGCTTATAGTCCGAAAAATACGGTAAATATAAAATCCAAGATGGCCACCAAATCTAATTTCACATAGTTGGACCTCAGCCATGTTTTACAAATACTGAACTGAAATTTGGTGAACTGGTAGCTGAGTGCGATCCCCATGTGATTTTGAAATCTCAATTTTAACCTTGTAGAGACATGAAGCTGAAGTTTAGTGTGGTGGTAGCTGAGAGTAGTCCACCAAAGCTAAATTCAAATGGCTACAATTCAGCTATTTTTTTGTGTGGTTTCAAAAAGTTTTTTTCTTCCCTCTACACTAGATAATACAGCTGCATGACAGATATTTACTTTATTTTAGCTCTAACGGACCATCTTTTATTGCCAAATGTAATCCCCGCCCCCACCTGTCAATCATTTGGAGGTGGCACCTGGCGTGGCCAATTAGGTGCCAGAGGTGGCACCCTGGCCTCTGGCTCCACCCCTGGTTGTGGTACAGCTGTTTTTGTTCCACCTGTGGGTTAGGAGTCTTTAAGGATGAACACAAATGGCATGTCCTCCTCCTGTGAGCAGATGCTGGAGAAAAAGGAGGCCAGGTGTCCGGAGGTCAGAAGCAACGCATCTCCATCGCCAGAGCTCTAATCAGAAAACCTAAAATCCTGATTCTGGACAACGCCACCAGTGATTTGGACACAGAGAATGAATACCAGGTACGAAACCATCCAGCCTCTTTTTAAAGCGGTTATTATTTATTTATTTATTTTTATTAACCACCGCGTTGCTGCTCCTCTTCAGATCCGTGAAGCTCTAACCAAGCTAGCAGAGAGCTGCTCTGTGCTGATGATATCCAACAAGATGAGCGTGGTTGAGAAGGCCGATCACATTATTGTCCTCGACAGCGGGGCGGTAAAGGAGGAGGGCAGTCATGACCGGCTGATGAAGAGCAGTGGTCTTTACGCTGAGATGGTAAAGAAGCAGGAAACGGGCTTTAACCGCCCAAAAGACGGGAGCAACCACGAGAACTGAGACGTCGGAACGGCAGGAAAAAGACTGAAAGTTTTTTAAACTTGGGCTCCAAACTCAAGCTACGCTCATTTTATTTAAAAAAAATATCACGAGATGTAATTTTTACTGCGTTTGCTTGAGTTTGACCTTTTAACACAGCTGCACATTGAAAATCTGACAAACTGCACTGAATATTCTGAAAGATTTTACGTCTGAGCAGAAAAAAACTGCATTTTATTGTTAATGGGTTTTTTTTCAACAAATTTCAACCACGTTGTCATCAATCAGAAAATATCATTACTGAAGTTCTTCAGTGAGGTGATGTTAGAAGAATTTATGTTGTATTTATTGTCAGATTAACCAACTTCACTCCCTACTTGTCAGCGTTCATCCATCTGTATGCAAACACACCATGATGGATTCTTTATTAAAGCAGTTTGCTCAGACATTTTGTGTAGAAGTAAATTTAAATGACAAAAAAAAGGGTCTATGGAGTTGTTAGAACAAGGTGGACCCGTAGTTTTATTTATATAATCCATTTTAAACAGCACAAGTTAAAACTACGTTAGTTTTTTTAAATCAACACTGTGATGCATCAAACTGCTCTGCAGAGAAATCAAACCTGTTGTTTTTAGCCTCGTAGCATCACACAAGAATTGTTATGCTAACACTGAGATTTAAAAATAGATGCCCACGAATACAGAGAAGTGACCAAACAGCCCTAGCCTGGCCCTTGCTTTCCTACGCTCAATTCTAGTTTCCCTTCTCTGCTCCGTCTGGAACTTCTCCTATTGACAAGGATTTTGCTGGCAGATTTTTAGCCGGGCCAATCAGAGAACGGAACGTCAATTTTCTGCGCAGTGTCTGCTTGTAGTTTATTTTATCTGGACCAATCAGCAAACAGAAGGCGGAGTTTTGAATGACGTCGATGTTCTGCGCAGGCTGTGTCCAAAACGGCAGGCCGCGTCCTCCGAAAGTCGAATTTGTCGGCTGCATACGTCACAGCGCCGCGACGAAGGACGTCCAAAACCGAAGACTCCTCCGATGCG